TTGCACGTCAGAACCGCTACGAGCCTCCACCAGAGTTTCCTCTGGCTTCACCCTATTCAGGCATAGTTCACCATCTTTCGGGTCCCAACAGCTATGCTCTTACTCAAATCCATCCGAAAACATCAGGATCGGTCGATGATGCACTCAAAAAAGAGCTCTCACCTACGTTCACTTTCATTACGCGTACGGGTTTTACACCCAAACACTCGCATAGACGTTAGACTCCTTGGTCCGTGTTTCAAGACGGGCGGCATTAGATCATTACGCCAGCATCCTAGTCAAAAGACGCAGCCCTCGATCCAGACAGGCAATATCAGCAGAAGCTATAACACTCCACCGAAGTGAAGCCACATTCAACTGCCATTATCTTGCCATCCGAATCGATGCTGGCCCAGTGAAATACGAGTGCACAACTCAAGAAGAGAAGATAATCGTAAAACACCAAGTCTGATCTAATGCCCTTCCCTTTCAACAATTTCACGTACTTTTTCACTCTCTTTTCAAAGTTCTTTTCATCTTTCCATCACTGTACTTGTTCGCTATCGGTCTCTCGCCAATATTTAGCTTTAGATGGAATTTACCACCCACTTAGAGCTGCATTCCCAAACAACTCGACTCTTCGATAGCACCTTACATAGGAATGGGCATCTCATCAGACGGGATTCTCACCCTCTATGACGTCCTGTTCCAAGGAACATAGACAAGAGCCAAACCCAAGGTTACCATCTTCAAATTACAACTCGAACACCGAAGGTGCTAGATTTCAAATTTGAGCTTTTGCCGCTTCACTCGCCGTTACTGAGGCAATCCCTGTTGGTTTCTTTTCCTCCGCTTATTGATATGCTTAAGTTCAGCGGGTAGTCCTACCTGATTTGAGGTCAAACTTTTAGTTTATTGTTGTTAAGCCGAGCCTAAAATACTTCTAAACCTGCCTAGCTGATATAACGAGTTGGAAGAACCTAATACATTATTTCAGAAAGACTGCTTATTAGTACACTCTTGCTAAGTCAATATTTCAAGTTAACCCTTGACAGAGTATCACTCAATACCAAACCCGAAGGTTTGAGAGAGAAATGACGCTCAAACAGGCATACCCTCTGGAATACCAGAGGGTGCAATGTGCGTTCAAAGATTCGATGATTCACGAAAATCTGCAATTCACAATACGTATCGCATTTCGC